ATTTTTTTATAGTAATTTTTTTTTCTAGTTCAAAAATTTTTTTAAAAATTGTTGAAGTTAAATATTAAAAAAAAAAAATATTTAAGTTTACTCTTTATGCATATTATTGGCATTAAATAACAAAATTCAAAAACAAAATTCCAAGCCTCTATTGTTATAAATTCAATTAAATTCCATTTCCTGCACGTGATAGACATATTCAATTATTTTTGTTAGTGATTTTGTTTTGGTTTTTCTATTACAAAAGAATGCTTTTCTTGCTTACGCATTAGGAATTCCGTAGCAATTACAATATTGCACGCCCAGACTGCATAATCGACAAGCACTTAGTAACAATGGAGAAAATAAACAACATTTTCCACGAATTCTCTCATCTAGCATATGTTTGCGAGTTTTTCATTCATTCAAATTAAATTGCTTTCATCACAGAGAACAGAAACAGAGTAAAGAAATAATAGAGAATAATAGAAGAAAATAAGAAAAGGTTCCCATTCGTTGTCAAGTGAGTAAACCAAAAATAAATCCAAAAAAAAATATATTTATTTATATATGTGTGTACATAAGTATATCCATGCGACGAGATATTTATTTCAATTATGCGTCCAAACAGGCGACAGAAAAAATAATGTTAAGGCCTCCACATCAACACTCAGAAATAGGCCTTTGAATGAGCCCAATTGCTTTAACAGACATATTTTTTACATTTCTTGCTGATATATAAAATACATACAATTCTACCCTGCAACCATAGTGCAGGCAGGGTGTATTGGCTTATAGGACAGTATTGATAATACACAAAGAAGATAATACACATCGACTTCAGGCATATCGGTGTATATGGTCTGTCACTCCGCTGTTTGACCTCATCCATCTCCATTACAATAAAATCTAAAGACGTGTTATTTGATATGCGTACATACATATGCATATATACCCTACACAAAACAATTTTATAATTTATTTATAATTGAAAACAAGCAGCGGATATCTGATAGTCGTGCACTGCCGACTAAAGTGCTTTTTCTAGTTCCTTTTGCCGCTGCTTGTGATGTACGCCAACAATTATCGTGGCCAAACGTGCGTAGAGACAGGAAAGTAGGTCCTGGCCCGCAGGGAAACAAGTCTGAGATTTCTGTTCATGACGATTGAGATTGAGCTACAGCTAAACAGCTAAAAGGAACCGAATGGGTTTGAGCGACTGCACGATGCACGCTCACAGATAGATTATAATGAGATGCAGAGATCTATTTGTGGAGCAATTTGCTGTTAAGGACTCTAACGCCCTCTTATACGCCCCCAATAGACCTTCATATATTATTTTTTGACAACCTATAGAGCAGCGTAACAAAAAGAAGCCGTTTCATTTTGTCGGGCTTCCCAAATGACTTCACATTGCAGGACATAGGTCCAGCATACGCCCATTTGCTCGCTCCGCTTGGCGGGCATAGAGCAAAACTGGTTGCGTTAGTAACTAGATAAATATAGCTTGGGTTCTCTTCGGGCTGTGATAAAAAATCGCGACCATGTCAACTGACAAACGCATGCCCCGAACACAAAAAGACATCAGGCGTCACAACATGATTAATTATGCATGAATAACCCACACCCACCCAGCGGAACCCACGCAAACCACCCACTCCATCCTCTCCGTCCACCCAGTCCACCCACCATACATCCGTAAGATAAATAGAAACATATGCTGCCTAGTCGAAGGCTTATGCGTCACTTGCTTTAAGCAGCTCTGCTTTGTCCTTTGCTCAAGGTGTAAGCATTAAGGCTCAAAGAGCTGTGGCCACTATGGTGTATTTATATATAAATGTATAGAGACGTGAGCCGTACAAATTGCTTATGCAAAATTGTCTTTTAGTAATTTATGGCAAACATGAGTTCGAATCGAAGGGGTCATAATTCTATTTAATTGCCTCTTCGAAACAACTGCAGCACTTGTCTTGCTTTTCATAAATAAGACGCAATGCAGTTACAAGCGCACCTAAATACACTGAGGAAAATGCAAAAAGAAAACCATGAACGGAAAACTCGATCGATAGTATTGGTTCTTACGAAACATAAGGGATAGTTGAATCTGAATTCGAGCAAATAATACTCGAGCGAGAGTCGTGAAAAGTTCAAGAAGTCATTTTGTAAGTTTATGCTCTCTTTAATTGACATGGATATATGTACCGATTGTTTCTTATCTAGACCCCTTCAACCATATTAAATTTTGCACTCCGTCTCTTTCTTTCGGCCTGTGTAAATACTTAAGTTGATTTACAAGCTTGAAATATATGCTGAAAATATGATGGGACACATTTGAAAGGTTCGTTTTGTTACGCTGTCATAAAGTCAGAAGTGTTGTTCATGAAAGGCAATCAAAATGACGTGCTCGGGTCTCTCTCAACTTTATTTCGCAACACGCATTCTGCATAGGTAATAGGTTGGGATAAGACTTTCAAGTGTCCAGGCTCATGTTACCTGCTGAATAACTGTCTATATATTGCATCGCTCACCCACCATGCGATTTAAGTACAAACACTTCCCGAGCTAGCTTTAAGTTCGAGTGAAAAACGTGCCGAGTCTAAGGCAAAACATGTGAGAACTGGGTCGGGAGTGCGCGACTAGCAGATACCGCGATTCCTGCGCAGAGCTGCTATTAAAGGCAGATAGATCTTAATTGAGAATAAATATACCTCCCCCTGCCCGAAGCGTACACTGCCACGAAACCGTTATATCAAGACTAGACCATTCTCAGTGGACATAAAGAGCAAAACTTTTTTGGCATTACCAACTGCGGGTGGGCAAGGGGAAGACTTTGCAACAACGGAATTTAACAACTGGCAGCATCTAAAGTTGTCGTTAAATGTATATACCCTGCAACAGAATGGGGATTGGGTATATCGACTTAGTCCAAGTCTTTGATCGACTTCCAGCTTTAGTCCAATGTAAACAAAAACCGTCTAAAGCATTTTTAAGCAGCTTGACAGCAGGTAAACATGCTACAGGTTTACATGTGTGTATGTCTGGTATCTGTGTGTGTGTGTGGCAAACCTTGTTGCCACAAAATAATGCGCATAACATAAAAGCATTGAGTTTATGTGCAACATTTGTTATTCATTGCATGAGGAGCTCATTGAAAAGGACATAGAAGACGCGCTTGGCGGAGAGTTGGTGGGCGAGGGAGGTATGGCAACTTATGTAATTAATTTACAACCTGATTCACTCCATTCTTCTTCTCGTGCTTATGTGAACAAAATTAAATGAAATAAATCTTACAATTCTATGCTAAAACCAGCCAAATGCGACCCCAGAGGAGTCTCAGCATTAATCTTATGAAAGAAACATAGATATAAACACGATATAAACACAGACATACATATACATGTGAATGCATGTCTTGTATGTATACATGTATGTTTGTTAATTCACTCAAGTAAATGATATTTTAGAGTTAACCGTAAATTGTTGATTAGGGCTAATTAATGCCGCATCAATCAGCCAGAGAGCAAAGCTAGCTGGGGCTTCCATCTCACAAATTACTTGACTTCACGCAAATCCTTTGCACATTGCGCATACGCCGCGTAAGCCCCAAGGAGCAAACCAACAACAGAAAAAGAAATACACACAAATACAGTACAGCAAAAAGTAGCTGGCAATTCTTTATAAGCGTATAATTTGAAAATTTGCCCCTGGGGCAATATGTTTATGCCTGCCTTTTGTCCCTATTGTGTGCGAAGCTTTTTCATTCATTGCTGCGCTTATTGTTTATGCTAACAGCGCCTATCTCTCGATCTCGCTCTCGCGCGTACTCGCTTTATCTATCTCTCTCTCTATCACTCTGTTTATTTTGATGACACCCTCAAGCGTATATATTTTGTGCTTTGCTGAAATTTGCACACAGCACAAATAAAACGAGGGCCGCTTCAATGTGCAGCAGAATCATATTAAGCATACGCAGCGTATCACAACGCGTGTGTTTTTTTCTTTTTAATTATTTCGCAAATTTGTTGTGCAATCAATTTTATTTAATCTGAATGCCTGTGGGACGATCCCAATCGATTTTTGTTTATGTACAAATATTAAGTATACGCACTGGAGGACAAAGTTATTTTAATCTCTTTTCAGGCACGAAATTACTATAAATTGATTGGGCTTCGGTAAATTTTATAAGCATCACAAAGTTAACGCGGCAGCTTCTCACTCTACAATAATAATTAAGTATACGCAGTATAGCACAAAGTGAATTATAATCTAATTTAAAGCTCGAATTTCGTAAATATGCACAGAATGCAGCTAAGCAATAAGCTTATTAGACTGTGGGGCAAATACGGTTAATTTCTTAGACTTAATTTAAATGAATGCCGACATATTCCTATTAGCAAGGGCCTTGTCCATGTTTCCTTTAAATTTGTTAACTAACTGTAGATAAGAATATAATAATACTAAGTATACGCAGGGTAGCACAAAGTCATTTTTAATCTCATTTTAATCTCAAATTTCTTATTGGCTCTGGCATAAATTATTTCTTGGAAGATATAACAACATTGAGTATGCGCAAAGTGCAGCTAAGCAACAATATTATTTGTCAAAGGTCCTCACTTTCCCTGAATTAAATTACGCAATAAGGGACTCACCCTCAATGTCTCCATTCATATTTTAACTGAGTTTAAATTATTTGAACACTTTAATAAACTATTCTCACAATATTAGAGCTAAAGTACCTTGAGATTCACATTTAGCTTGAATTTTGTTTTCAATAGCAGATCTTGATTGAGAGAACTGCAATGAGTTTTCATCAGAATCAAAACATTCGGCCATGGACAAACTGTAAATTGAATTAAGCTACTTTAGCAAAGAAAAACAAAGCTGCTTAGGTTTCAATGAGTACGTAAGCTTAAATGGAACTGACAGTTTCCATTCAGTTTTGTATTTTTATATAATATTTTGCCAGTTTTCCTTGTTGACTTTCCAAAAACTCTTCGCTCCACCTGCGCCTAATCTAATCCATATCACGCTCATGAGTAAGAAATGTCTGCGAATCGTTGAGGTTCATTATTAATATTTAGTATCAAGTACATTTGGGAGGGGGGTGGCGAAAGAGAGAGAGCGAGGGAGGCGGATTATATAACTGCCTGATAAAGCTCAACTGTGATAAGCAGCTTTGTATCATTGCCGCGACTCACGCGGCTGATTAGATTAACAATTCAGAGAGCCAACATGTGTGAGACACACAGCCCGTTTCCCATGCAACAAGTGCAGGGTGAATGAGAGAATGAGTGAATGAATGATGGAAGAGGAAGAGGAAGAGTGAGTGGAGTAGAGTAGGAATCATCCTGATTTTCTGCTGTCGTCACATCACGCATTCGCATCGCATCGCATTTGTCTCAATCAATTAGGTTGCTGACAAAATTTGTCCCAAGTCGTCACGTGCGCCCATTACCATTATGCACACTAAATATATACATATGTATGTGTATGTGTGTATGTGCATATATGTATATATTGATAGCAATGTCTTTGATGACAACCAGCAGTTGGGCGTGCGTGGGCGTGGCGTGGGAATCAAGCGAAATTCCAATCAAACTTTTCTGCGTTTGCTCAAGAGTGCGCGTCAAATGTGCCTAAAAGCGTATGGATCTAGAATAAGTCAAATCCACCCAAAACACGTACAATGAATACGCAGCAAACGCACACACACACACACGCACACATGCGCACAGCCACACGGAAACAGTTTGTCGTTTGTCATTGTGCAGCTGTTGCCACTTTTAACTGCGGCGAGGATGCTCCAAGCAGCCAACGGCCCGTGGCAAACCCTTGTTAAGACGCTGCCCTAGCTCCGAAGACAAGCGATAAGCTCTTGGGTGAGTTAACTTAAGTAGGCATGTATATTTACACATACAGGGCATATCTCTTAGGCCTACTTAATATTTCCAAAATTTATTAAACACAATAGACATTTGCAATAAAGTAGTAGAGATCTAGATAATACCCGAAGCTCGCGTTGGGCTGATAGACAGACAACAGGTCATGCTTGCTTATGGATTAAATGATCCTTAGATTTATTCAATCAGCATATCCTTTATATATAAATATTACTAAATATTAACATTAAATATTAATATTAAAATAATTTCAGATATTTCGACTATTTTGCCTAGGCCTTTTTTTTCCGACCTTCAACTCTATAAGTTGTGTAATTTCTATTCCTGCCATAAAGTCAAGAATTAATATATAAATAAATAACAGRTAGAGGCGCAGCTCGTTTCGGATTTAAATAAAAAACAATATAAAAAAAAAATTACTTTCTATGAAACTCGTTTGCGACAAAAGGCGACAAAAGCGCAATATCAAACGATTTTTGTCTTTTGATCTTAACGCCACGGACAAACCTGACACGAAAAAGCTGGGTATTGCCCAGAGCCCAGAACGCAGAACCCAGAACCAAACCAAATGCGAAGAAGAACAACAAAATTAGTACAATGAACCTGCAAGAAATTCCTAGACAAAAAGAAATAAAACACAAACGAGAATAAAGAGACATATCTAAGCAAATTTCAATAAATGTTGCATATAAATTCATATTAAAAATAAAAAATAAAAAATTGTTTATTTTTCTCTTGCAATATTCAAATAGTCAATATTTTGTTTTGTTTGTTTACTTTTCATGCTATTGGAATTCCCAGCCGGCGTCGCGCCGTGTTTGTTCTTTGGCGGAACCCGTTTCAGGCTTCTTTTGTTTGCTCGTTCATGCCGGAGTTAAGCGAGTCGATGGGTTCTGGGCTGTGGGTTGTGTCTGCATACCTGTCTCTTGCAAATTTCGGTATGGTAACAGTTTCGATGGAGGTGGAAGAGGTGGCATATCTGCCCTAGCTTAACAAGTCGAGCTCCCCAAGAGTCGAGTGACTGTCAGGTTTATGCTATCAATTGGGATTGAGTTGTGTCAGATTGTCTGTTTGACAGCAAAGCAAGGAATTTAAGCATCTCTTGATGTAATTTGAAATCGTGTCACAGCTTAAAAAGAACATTTAAATATTTAATTTACTTGGAAGCCTCTTGAAACAACCGCTAGATTACCTTGCTTCTGAGAGAAATGTGTGATATAGCAAAGAGAGCCAAGTCGAAGCGAACTCTGAATAGCTCATAATCCAATTTGCTGTATGTTAATGGAATCCGCAAGTCTTCAAAGTCTGCCCAACAAAGTATTCAGATTCCGATTTATGAACTCGAACGAATCAACAAAGAATCCCATAATCTCATTACCACCCACATTGGATCAACAATTTCATACACTCTTTCGAGCGCGTATCAAGCAGTCGTTTAGGCTGCTTCCACAATAATCTGACTCGTTTTCTTTTAATATATTTGTATGCTGGGATTAAATATCGTAGCAGCTGCCGCATATTTGTGTTGGGTAGGCGCCAACGAAATTAATTTCGGCGTCTCAAAACAAGAAATCAATTTCGACACACAGAAAACAAAGGGGAGAAGCAGCAGCAGCATCAGAGAGAGTTGAGACCCGAGAAATGAGAACTGAGAACCAAAACCGGGAGGCTGCGGCTTCCCATTCATGCTCGACTTCTAACAAACGCCTTCTTCATTTTTTGTTCGGGTATAAATAGCGGCGCCTGTGACTTTGCTAATTAGACCTGAAACAAAGTTCATCAGCACAGCAACAGCACTCGCAGGAGTCAGCTCAATCCCCACCAACGAAAAATGTCGAAATTGTTTGCAATTGTTCTGCTGTTCGTCACAGTCTGCCTGTTCCTGGCGAATGCTGCCCCTGCCCAAATACTGGATGCACAGACCGCTATCAGCAAGATAATTGGTAAGTCACGACTCCCGCCCCAGGATTCTCTTTCCTGTTCAACTCTCCTCTATCTCTGTCGCCTTGCAGCTGCCTACAACCGCATCCCGGGACCGTCGCGAGTCTATCCCGCGGAGGTGGCCACGCTCATCGACCCAAACACGTTTGTGCCTCGCAATTACTTCTTCTAAGTCGGTCGGAAATGTCCCGTTTCTGCCGTCCTCTGTTGTGTTTACTAGTCTAATAAGAGTTAAAAACTAAAAATTCATTTTAAAAAAACTTGTGTTAAAACTAAAAAATAAAAACGGTTTTATACTGAAAATTTTAAAATTTCTTCACTATTTCGAGATTAGTATTTTTTTCTCTAGAGACCCTGATCCTCCTGATGAAATGATATTCCAAGTATTCGTAGTGCATATGTAACAAACACATAATAACGTCCTCTGCTAACTGTAGTTGACTACAAAATTCAAATATATTTTGCTGAAAATTCGAAAATTTCTTCATAATTTCAAAATTATTATTTTCTCTAGATCCCCTGACCTCTGCTGATGTACTGAAGCTACAAGTATTCTTTGTGCATATATAACAAACACTCACATAATAACATGCTCTGCTAACTGCGCAGTTGACGCAGTGACTGCTTATGGACTACAATATGTATGAAAATTTATGTATTGAATAACTTTTTATGTAGATGGACCTTTGCTACCAAACATTAAACATTTTTTTTTATTTTTTTTTTTTTATTT